CTGTCTCCTTCCTCCCTGTCCGGTCCCTTCCGTTCCTCCGCTTCCTCCCTTTGCCTTCCTCGTCCGTTCCTTCCCGTCCCCTTCCCTCTCTTCCTCGCTCCTCCTTCTCCCTTTTTTCACCTCTCTCCCTTCGTCCTTCCTCGCTCCTGCCCTCTCCCTCCCTCCCGTCCTCCTCCTCCCTTCTCCCTCCGCTGGTGTCCTCCTTCCTTTCCTTCCTCTCCTTCCTCTCCTCCTCCTCCTCCTGCTTCCTCCCTTCGCCTTCCCCGTTCCCTCTCTTCCTCCTTCCCCCTCCCCTCCTCCTCCTCCCTCCTCCTTCTTCCTTCCCTCCTTGCCTCCTTCCTTCTTCTCCTCCCCCTCCTCCTCTCCCCTCCCCTCCTCCCCTCATCCTCCTCGCCTTCTCCCTCCCCTCTCCTTCCTCCGTCCTCCTCCCTCTCCCTTCCTCCTCCTTCCTCTCCTTCCTCCTTCCCTTCCCTCCTCTCTCCTTCTTTCCTTCTTCATTTGCTTTTCCGAGAGTCTTCACTCTGTAGCCCGGCTAGAGTGAGTGCTGTGGCATCAGCCTAGCTCACAAGCAACCTCAAACTCCTGGGCTCAAGCTGATCCTCCGTGTCTCAGCCTCCCGAGTAGCAAGTCTGGAATGGGACCTGATTTTGATAGGTCAGGAATCAGACAGAATCAGAAGCGCCGGGCGGCCTGGCTGCGCCCCGGCCCAGCCTTCCAGACCGCGCGGCGGGCGGCAGAGCCGGCCTGGAGGCGCCCGGCCGCGCTTCGGCTCGCTGCGACCTCGCGGAGGAGCACCCGCCGTCCCGCGCCTCGTCTGGGCGTCGCGCCGGGCACTTGCGGGGCGCCCGCGGGCGCGGAGACGCAGCCGCGCCCCTCAGCCTGCGGAAACCCGGCCGCGCTTCGAGCCGCGCCAGCCCCGCACCCGCCAAGCGCAGACGGCCGGCGGCCTGCGGTCTCTCAGAGCCAGTGCAAGCACAGACCGAGTGTGCCCGGCGGGTCGCGTCCCCAGCGGAGAACGCCTGAGGCGGCCCGATGGGGCCGGCCTCCCCAGGGTCGTGAGCTGCGAGCAGGGACACAGCCGGCCCTCAGCGCGGGCCGCGGCCGGCGGGCGGGCGGGCGGGCGGGCGCGGACGCTCCAGGGCCGCCGGCCTCCCGCGTCGCGCGCCGCAGCCCCGCGCAGGGCCACGCGGGGGCGCTGTCTTCGCAGGCCGGGCCGCGGGCGGGCGCGGGGCCGCCGGCCTCCCAGCTCCGCGCAGAGGCGGCGGGTTCCGCGACTGCGCAGAACCTGCCGGAGGCCGGGAGCGCGGTCGCCCTTCAGGCCTGAGGGGCGGCGCGGCGGGGTGAGGCGGAAGAGCGGCGGGCTGCGTCCGCAGACACCTTGTTCGCCCGGGCGCCCGGCCCTGCACGATCCCTGCGCAGGCCGGCTCGCCCTCGCGGTTAATTGGGGTCCGAACTGCACAAGCTAAGCCCCGGGAACCTCCCGGCCCGAGCCACAGCGGGCCACTCCTACTGGTCCTGTTCTGAAAGGCCACAGGTGACTCAGCCTCAGGTACGGCTGGAGATCAGGGCCTCAGTCCCGGCCTCAAGAGCGCGGCTCACCCTTCGTGCACCAGGAGGGTGGCAGGTGGTGACACAGTGGCCACCCACCCTGCCAGGCAGGGCGTTGCTGGGGAAAAGCCCCAGAGGTCTAGCCCAGCAAACGCAGGTCTCACCGGCTCCTATACTCTGGGCTCTCCCTCAGCTCAGGTTGTTGCTGGCTCCCGAGGCCTCAGAGATGAGGGCCAGCACTGGCTGCTGGGATAACCCCCGGGCCTAGGCACAGATCTAGGTTTTGTTTTTGTATAAGATCTGAAGCTTAAACAATTCGGAGACCCCTTTATGAATATAAAGTTGCAAATACAAAATTGGGAACCGGCGGGGCGCAGTGGCTCACGCCTGTAACCCTAGCACTCTGGGAGGCCGAGGCAGGTGGATTGCTCGAGGTTATGAGTTCGAAACCAGCCTGAGCAAGAGTGAGACCGTCTCCACCATAAATAGAAAGAAATTAATTGGCCAACTAATATATATACAATAAATTAGCCAGGCATGGTGGCACATGGCTGTAGTCCCAGCTACTGGGGAGGCTGAGGCAGGAGGATCACTGAGCCCAGGAGTTGGAGGTTGCTGTGAGCTAGGCTGACGACACGGGACTCACTCTAGCCTGAGCAACAGAGTGAGACTCTGTCTCCAAAGGAAAAAAAAAATTGGGAACAAAAGTAAATATTTGTAATGAGAAAATAGATGACATCAAATTATAAATTTTAATGGTTGACAAATACCACAAACATCAGAACATTCAGGAAAATCATATTTTTATCAACTGACATCTCTAATATTTTTACATGTGTTTTTGGCTGCACACACTTTGATGACTGCTTCATATGCCAAACATTTTGTAATATCATTTCTGTTGAAAGAATAGAAAGTAATTCAGGTTGGGTGTGGTGGCTCATGCCTGTAATCCTAGCATTTTGGGAGGCTGAGGCAGGAGGATCTCTTGAGGTCAGGAATTTGAGGTTGCAGTGAGCTATGATGATGCCACTGCACTCTAGCTTGGGCAACAGAGTGAGACCCTGTTTAAAAAAAAAAAGAAAAAGAAAGATAATTCAGTCTTTCCTCTAGCACAACTGATCAAAATTTTTCGTACTATTGCTGTAGGTCTGTGGTTACAAACTCAACAATTTGATACATTCTATTATGTCGATCCCAACAAGGAAAAACATGTATGGTGTTCTTATAATTGTATATGCTACATTATTAAGAATATTCTGGCCAGGTGTGGTGGCTCACACCTGTAATCCTAGCACTCTGGGAGGCCGAGGTGGGCGGATTGCTCCAGGTCAGGAGTTCGAAACCAGCCTGAGCAAGAGTGAGATCTGTTTCTACTATAAATAGAAAGAAATTAATTGACCAACTAAAAATATATATACAAAAAAAAAATTAGCCGGGCATGGTGGCACATGCCTGTAGTCTCAGCTACTCGGGAGGCTGAGGCAGGAGGATTGATTGAGCTCAGGAGTTTGAGGTTGCTGTGAGCTAGGCTGACGCCACGGCACTCACTCTAGTCTGGGCAACAAAGCGAGACTCTGTCTCAAAAATAAATAAATAAATAAATAATAAAAAATAAAGAATATTCCTGACTAGAGAGAATATCCTGGCAGAAGGAAACTTTCATTGGACATCAAGGAGAATCAAACACTGCCTTTTACATTTACAATGGCTGAAAGAATTTTCCACAAACTAGTTTCTGACTCTGTATGTTTTGAGCCTTGTTTCTCTTGCACTTCACACCTATTTCCAGTGCCAGGTGTCAAAGGTCATGTTCATATTGCAGTATGACCTTTGGTCATTGGTCAGTATAGTGGACAGTAGGGATATTCCTAGAAACCATTGCAGCAGCTGAGGGTGGAGTGGTGTTAGTAACTGTTTAACTAGGAAGTGACTGCAAATCACATACGTAAATAATCTCAACTCAAATTCTCCTTAGCCAGATACTAAAAATGCCCACAGCCACTCCAAACGCCGACCAACATGAAAGGAAGTATGCCTGAGGGATGTCAGAGAGGGAAAAGACTAGCGTCTTAATTATGGTTAATAAATATATCTCACTTTTCTATATTTTACAAATTTTAAAACAATTGCTAGGGACAGGAACTTGGAAGGGTCTCTGCAAGTAAGGGGTCGTGAGTCTTCAGCTTCGTTAGTTTCATGCTAAATCCACCCTTGCCTGGAACCCACCACCTCCCTTCTTCCCTTCCTCTCTCCTCCCTCCTCTCGTCCCGGAATTGGCCTGCCTTTTCGCTCTCTGTGCTCAACTCATGTTGCTTCTGGTGGAGGAGTTTCTTCCTCTTCCAGACAGAAGGCAGGCCTCAGTGCCCGGCCTCCCCGAGACCTCACCCTTCCTTCCAGCAAGCTCTGCACTGATTGGACAGCTACAGCAGACACACGGAACAGTCTTCTAACGTGCTTTACTTTCTTCCTCCCACTTGGGTGCCACAGAGTGACAAAGTCATACACAGAAGTGGATAATGCACCGTTAGCTGTGACCAACGTGCTGAAACGAGTCCTCATATTTCAGAGGAAAACAGATTTGAGATCTCCGAGGCCTTTTATCCCTGGAGTTGGGGTTGAAGCTCTGTGTAGAAGAGATGGGAGAAAGGCTGGGCAGCTGGTGGCTGAGGCTGGGGCCACTGCCACCTCCCCACATGGCCCCAGCATACACTGCCCTAGGTTGTTCCTGGGATAGGACAAGGTGTCCTGAGGGCAGAGGCTGTGTTGCATTTATCTCCATGTCCCCTACACCCACTGTAGTTCTTGGTACATAGTTGGTGCTCAATGAATGTTGAACTTGAAGAGCAGATGGGGTTGGGGGATTCGGCTGCTTCCAGGTGGCCACTGGGGGAACAACAGAGACTGTGCCTTGCCTGGTGACTGGGACTCTGTGGGGGCGGGGCTGCCCATTACAGGCAGCCACTGGGTGGCCAGGGCCTAACACCCCCCACTCCCCCTGCACTCATGCCTAGTGCTCTTTCATTAACAAGATTCTTTCTTTAGCAATTCGGCAAAGGCCAAGTCCAGCCTAGTGTTTCCATGCAGGAATTTCTTCTGGGCATTTTGGGGGAAATTACGTATTTTTCCACATCCTGAATCCTGAGAAAAATCAATTTGGCAAAACTGTTATAGTTCTTCGTTGAGCTTAACAATCAACAGAGAGTTGTTACTGGTTTGAACTCAAAATCAGGAGTAGGAAAGTGATGGCATCTCTGAATTGAACATTAAGGTTTTTGGGAACAGGAACAGGAGCATGAAGGAGAGACATGGTCACCACATAATCACTCTTGTGTGTAGCTGCTGCAATGTTATGAGTGTGTGTTTGTGGACCTGCCTGGTTCTGTGAGTTATCGTTGCAAATAAAATAAATATTAATAGGTTTATAAGCTTTTAGTATACGTTTTATAAATCCTGTGAGTGAAATTCCAGGAAATAACAAGTTTTGAAAGCAAAACTAAGTCCCTAAATTGACAATTTCAAACCATGATTCTGTGTAATGCTGTTTACTTTGGTAGAAGATCTGAATGTTATATTATCCAAAACAGGCACACCTCATTTTATTGCACTTCGTTTTATTGCACTTTGCAGACATATTGCACTTTTTACAAATTGAAGGCTTGTTATAACCCTGTAAGCAAATCTGCTGGCACTATTTTTCCAACAGCATGTGCTCACTTTCTGTCCGTGACACATTTTGGTAATTATTGCAATGGTTTGGAAATTTTCACTGTTATTATATTATGGTGATCGGTGGTCAGTTATCTTTGATATTACTAGTGTAATTGTTTTGAGGCACCATGAATTGTGCCAAGATAGCAAACTTAGTCAATAAATGTTGTTTGTGTTCTGACTGTTCCACTGACTGTTCTTTCCCCCATCTCCCTCCCTCCCTCAGGCCTCCTTATTCCCTGAGACATAACAATATTGAAATTAGGCCAATTAATAACCATACAATGTCCTGTGTTTAAGTGAAAGGAAGATTTGCATGTCTCTCGCTTTGAACCAAAAGCTAAAATTGATTAAGCTTAGTGAGGAAAGCATGTCAAAAGCTTAGATAGGCCAAAGACCAGCCAAAGTTGTGCCAATCAGCCAAATTGTGAATGCAAAGGAAAAGTTCTTGAAGGAAATTAAAAGTTCTACTCCTGTGAACACATGAATGGTAAGAAAGCAAAACAGCCTCATTGCTGATGTGGAGAACGTTTCAGTGGTCTGCATAGAAGATCACACCAGCCACAGCATTCCCTTAAGCAAAAGCCTAATCCAGAGTAAGGCCCTAACTCTCTTCAATTCTATGAAGGCTGAGAGAGCTCATGAAGAAGCTGCAGAAGAAAAGTTGGGAGATAGCAGGGGTTGGTTCATGAGGTTTAAGGAAAGAAGCCGTCTCTACAACATAAATGTGCAGGGTGAAGCAGCAAGTTATCCAGAAGATCTCGCTAAGATAATTGATAAGGATGGCTACACTAAATGATAGGTTTTCAATGTAGACAAAATAGTCTTTTATTGGAAAAAAGATGCCATATAAGATTTTCATAGCTAGAGATAAGTCAATGTGTGGCCTCAAAGCTTTAAAGGACAGGCTGACTCTGTTGTTAGAGGTTAATGCAGCTGATGACTTGAAGTTGAAGCCAATGTTCACCTACCATTCTGAAAATCCTAGGGCCCTTAAGAATTATTCTACATCTACTCTGCCCATGCTCTATAAGTGAAACAACAAAGCCTGGTGACAGCACATCTGTTTACAGCATGGTTGACTAAATATTTTAAGCCCACTGTTGAGACCTACTGATCAAAAAAGTAAAAAGATCGGTTTCAAAATATTACTGCTCATTGACAATACAGCTAGTCACCCAAAAGCTCTGTTGGAGCTGTACAAAGAAATGAATGTTGTTTTCATACCTGCTAACACAACATTCATCCCACAGCCCAAGGATCAAGGAGTAATTTTAATTATTATTTAAGAAATACATTTTGTAAGGCTATAGTTGCCATAGACAGTAATTCTTCTGAGACACTTGGGCAAAGTAAATTGAAAACATTCTGAAAATGAGCCACCATTCTAGATGCCATCAAAAACATTCATGATTTGGCTGGGCATGGTGGCTCACACTGTAATCCTAGCACTCAGGGAGGCCAAGGTGGGCAGATTGTTGGAGCTCAGGAGTTTGAGAGCAGCCTCAGCAAGAGTGGGACCTCATCTCTACTAAAAAAAAAAAAGATAGAAATTAGCTGGATAACCAAAAATATATATAAAAATTTAATCGGGCATGGTGGCGCATGCCTATAGTCCCAGTTACTTGGGAGGCTGAGGCAGGAGGATTGCTTGAGCCCAGGAGTTTGAGGTTTCTGTGAGCTAGGTTGATGCCATGGCACTCTAGCCCAGGCAACAGAGTGAGACTCTGTCTCTAAAAAAACAAAAAACCAACAAATACTCATGATTCATGGGAGGAAGTCAAAATGTCAACATTAACAGGAGTTTAGAAGAAGTTGATTCCAATCCTCATGGATGACTTGGAGGGCTTCAGGACTTCAGTGGAGGCAGATGTGGTGGAAATAGCACAAGAACTAGAATTAGAAATGGAGCCTGAAGATGGGGCTGAATTGCTGCAATCTCATGATAAAACTTGAATGGATGAGGAGTTACTTCTTATGGATGAGCAATGAAAGTGGTTTCTTGAGATGGAATCTACTCCCGGTGAAGATAGAGTGAGCGCTGTTAAAATGACAACAAGGATTTAGAATATTACATAAACTTAGTTGATAAAGCAGTGGCAGGGTTTGAGAGGATTGACTCCAGTTTTGACAGAAGTTCTACTGTGGATAAAATGCTATCAAATAGCATCTCATGCTACAGACTACAGAGAAATCTTCTGTGAAAGGAAAAGTTAACCGATGCAGCAGACTTCATTGCTTTAAGAAATTGTCACAACCACTCCAACCTTTAGCAGCCACCACCCTGATCAGCAATCAACATCAAGGCGAGATCCTCCACCAGCAAAAAGATTACAACTCGCTGAAGGCTCAGATGATCATTAGCATTTTATTTATTTATTTATTTCTACCTGTCACTAACTTGAAGCTCAGATCATTAGCATTTAAAAAATTTTTTTTTATTTCAGCATATTATGGGGGTACAGATTTTAAGGTTTCAATAAATGCCCATTTTCGTCCTCATCCGATGTATGCTTTTCTGCTAGGCTCTGTTTCTAAATTTTTAGATCTGTCTTTTGCGGGACACTCTGGCTGGTAGTTTTTTCTCCGCCCATCTTGCTCCGCCTCCCCTAATTGTGTTTCTAAATGAAGCACAATTATTACGCTAACTAGGTTTGAGTCAGGACTTGGCAGGCTTTTGAAACCTTTAATCAGATTGCTCTTTCTCAAGGACAATAATAATCACATTTAATGGGCCGCAACACAGGACTTAGAAACAGAGCATGCTCAGTGTTCATTTCATTAGTAAAAATAGCATCTTAGATTATCCTAGGAGAGAAAATGAAGTTGTTAAAATGATTAACACTAGTCTTTACAAATGTCACTAAGTGGATTTAGTCCACTATGGAACGCGATGGACTGGTGTCTGAGGCTCCTCCTTCTAGCTTCAGGATCAAAGGGGAGCAGAGGCTTGTGGGTGGTGGGGGCGAGATCAGGCTGTCTGTCTCTCACTCCTAAAAGCTTCCTTCACATTTGCATTGTGTTTGTCCTCTTGAGTAGTTTCCTTTTGTCCCTGGAAAGTGTAGGTCAGGGCAAATCACGAGTGATTACCCCCAGATGCTTGGCTCAAATTCGCGCTGCCAAGCACAGTTATGTGAACTGGCATGTCCTTTCAGTCTATTTAGCCTCTAGTTTTCTCATCTGAAAAATGGTCTAATACGTGCACTATTCACGGGATGTTCATGGAATAGTGCATGGATATAACTGCATTGTTTGTTGGTGCATACTGTTAGGAGTGGTTCCATGGACAGGCTTTCCTTTTAAAGTTGTTGGGGAGAGAGAGAGCGTGCGCTGGATGAGGCGTCCTTAGGGAATGGGTTGCCCTTTTTTTCATGCATACCATCTCAGGGAGTTCTGGTGATGTCATTTGTTTAGCAGGAATTTCTATTCCCTCCACTGGAACTCATTGTGTGAGGTTAGAATTTTGTCTATCTTAATGCTATATTCCAAAAGTCTAGAATGTGCTAGATATATATCAGGGTGAAATAAATATATGTGGTTGAATGAATGAAAGAATCTTGTTAAGGGAAGATGTCATGCTCATAAAACTTGAAGTCAGCGGCCTGGATGTGGAGTGGGGAAAGGATCATGTCTGGCGCTGCATGAGCAAGCAGCAGCAATCCAGGGAGGACACGGGGACCAAAGGGGTCAGAGACCCCTGGGGACAGGAAAGAGGGAGGGAGCTGGAGGAAGACACTCATGCACCTCCAGACAGCCAGGTCTCAAGTTGTTGTGATAGTTTACACTAATTGACCCACCCTTGCTAGCAACGGAGTCTGCCGCGCTGCTAAAACAGACCTGACGACACCAATGAGCCTCTTTGCTAGCTCTTTTGCTGAGGTCTGCTCTGCCACTATAGTTGGGCCATAACCGCCGAGCTGATGAGACTAATTTCTCTTACATTGGAAAGACAGGGAGGGTTGTTCTATAAGGTCTGAATTTAGAGGAAGGAAAAATATACAAATCATTAGTGACAGGTTCATGGAGGCAGGCAGAATATTAGTGCCTACTGACTTAACAGAAGAAAAAATCAAAGTGAGATTTTCCCTTATTACTGAATTCAATTTCCTGAAGTTTGGTGAGATAGGGGGGTTATTAAGTATATTAAAAACACGATAACAGTAGTAATATAACATGGACTATAAGTGGAGCTCAATTATATTTAGTCGAGGCAAAGGAAATATCAAATATTCAAATGCACTCATTTCAGTGTTGGTTTTAAAATTGATCATGCACTTACTTGAGTTGGCCGTCTAGGGCCTGAGCCTAGAGTTCCTGGGGGCTCCCTGCCTGTGCTGCACTTGGGGTCACAGACCTCTGACCCCAGCACCTGACTTGCCCTTTAGTCAGTTGGGGTTGGGCCCAGGACCCTCCATCCTTCCACTTGCCCTTCTCCCCTCATCTTTTTGGGACTCTCCCTGCACAAAGCAAAACATCCCACTACATCCAAACACCGCACTTTGCCTCTTTAATTTGGCCAGCAAAAATGAGTTCCATTAAGCTATACTAGTGATATTTTTGGAAAGTGGTATTGGATATGGCAGAAACTGAAGCTTAGAAACTGAACACTATTTTTGATTGAATGAATTGGATCTTAATTAATTATGTTCCAACAGCCTCCGAATATACAAAACCCATGTCTTTGTTACACACAGGAAGAGGTCGTGTCTAATTTGCCCCTTTCTTCTATTAACCATTTAAATGGGAATCTTCAAGTGCCATCAATTTTATGGGACATCAGTGACTTCACGAGAATTCAGGAGCAGCAAGCAGGCTTATATAAAGCAGAACAATATTCTGTTTTGTTTACTTATTATTTCTTTTTTTATTTTTTTGAGACAAAGTCTGCATTCTGTTGCAGGATAGAGTGAGTGGTGGTCAGCCTAGTCACGCAACCTAAACATACTTGGGCCAGGGATCTCTGCCTAGCCTTCCCAAGTAGCTGGGACTAAGGCATGTGCCATGCCGGCTAATTTTTGATGATCACTAAATTATATTAGTTGCATTATTGTCTTTCTATTTATAGTAGAGACGGGGTCTCGCTCTTGCTCAGGCTGGTTTCGACTCCTGACTCGAGCAATCGCCGCCCGGCCTCCAGAGAGCTAAGGATAGGATTAAGGCGGAGCCACCGCGCCCAGC